TTGATGGCTCTGTCAGTTTTGTGGGGACAGTTCTTGGAAAAGTGTCCCTTTTTCTTACAGATAAAACACCGTTGATCATGTGCTTTTCCTCTGAACTTTTTTTTCTTAAAGAATTTAAAATTCTTTTTCTTCTTTTTTCGGAAAAGTGGCTTTTCCCGCTTCTTCTTTGTCTTGCAATTGCCTGAACAAGGTTTCTTGCATTTGATCTCAAGATAAGGTTTCTGACAGGCTTTGCTAAACTTGATTTTCTGAGTCATGATGTCAGAAAAGAATTCATGCTGTCTGCACAGTTTATTAACAACTTCTAAAGTCATATGGTGAATTTGTCCCATCATTAGAACAGTAAAGTCTTTCTGAATGGACATGGCCATCCTGTTTAGCTCTGGTTGTATCTTAGCAGGAAGAGATGCAACATAGGTGTTCTTCAAGCTTGGATCGTTGAGTCCATTGAGATGGTAGAATCTCTTGCTCATCCTCTGATAGTGTTTTTCCAAGTCTTTGATCTTGATTGAGCAACATCTCATCTCGAAAAACTCTTGTCTGAGTTTTTTTATCTATGATTGATCCATCACCTATGAATTCTTCATGAAAGGCTCCTAGTACTGCCGAAGTTTGGCCCAGTTCATGGAACTGATTTTTTCGAACAACTCCCAAATTATGATACCATCCCTTTAAAGTTCCTGTCATTCTACAATAGAATTCTTCAATAACTTTATAAGAGTTAGAATTGTTGACTACTTTGGTATCTAACCATGCACCAAATTCGATTAATCTGGCTCTCCATTGGCTGGGAGAAATATCATCAATAGTGAACCAGAGTCCACCATTTGTCTTTGAAGACACATTCGTCCTTGTGGGTCGAGAGTCAACTTCTTTGTCTGGAGGGTCATAGATTGATTCATGTCTGAGTTCTGATCTGGAGGTGTTGGTCATCAATATCTGTGTAAGATCCTCATAGTTGGGAACTTCTGTTTCAGATTCAGAAGTAAGGGCTTCAGTTTCAGACTCCTCAGAAGTATGAACCTCAATTTCTGATTCCTCAGAGGACTCCTCAAGCATTGTAGGAGTATCTGGATTTGGAGTTGCAGGATTAGGAGAAGGAAAGTGTTCTATGGTCAACTGCGAGTATGGATCTTGGGAATCTTGAAAGATTGAGTCAAATGGTTCTTGCTGAGTTGGTCTTTTTGGTGAAGGTTGTTCATCAAAAGAAGATTCTGAAGAAGGTTGGACAACCTTATTTCCTTTGTCTAGCTTGGGTGCTACTGGTCTGAATCTAGACCTGTAAGCCGTTGCTGTTGGTAGGGACCATGTGGTTAGTGAGGCTAGTCGGAAATAAGAGGTTGGATTTTGAAAGGAAGAGTAGGCCGGAGTTGAAGAGAACAAAGACGTATAGTATTCTTTCACTGGGTTTTGCTGCCTAATCTTTTCTTCGATGTAGTTAGCCATCTCTTGAATCTGGGCTTTGAGCTTCCTAATTTTCCTTTCTTTTGCGTGAGATAATTCTCCAAAGATGATGATTTTCCAGTCTTCTTCTAACTTTGAGATTTCTGCGGAGAGTTGCTTATAGTGCTTTCTCAAAGTAGAATTTAGGTGCTGGAGCTTTTCGTCAGTCTCCTCTAGATGTGTGGAGATCTTGTCTATCTTCTTATCGATTTTCTGCAAGATAGAATTCTGAGCTCGAGCGTTTTTTGTCTGCCAATTTAGGACTTCTTCGGCCTGACTTAATGGTTTGACCTTCCCATCTGGTCCAATTTCTTGACAAACAACATGAGGTTTAGTTGTTGTTTTGGACACAAGATCAACGTTCCTTTCTAATGAAGGAAATTCCTCCTTGTAGGCTGAAGGGTTGATCATCATGCATGGAACGGGAGGAGATACAAGAACAGGCTGAGGTGGCATGGGAGAGGTTCTGCACCTTTCTTGTTTGGAGAAGAAGAGACCTTCCTCTTCAAGGATCTCAGGATATCGCTTATATTTCCACAAGGGATCTAGCTCATGTGGGCGGTGGATTCCTATCCACGGGCCTTTTCCAGGTTCAAATCTCCTGGATGGAGAGAATGGAGGTTTGCAAGATCCTCCTTTGAAGTCATCATCATCATCATCGCTATCTGAGTCATCGTCATCCTCGTCACTAGTGTCTCCATAGTTGTCACAGCAATCACAGTCAGAATCGCACATATCTGAGTCAGCATCTCAGATGAAATGTCCTCCTATCTTGTCAGTAAAGATAGGTTTGCCATCAAGGCACACGCTGGCGATCGGGATTTTGCCTTCCTTAGTGGCAGGCGTTATCATCATTGACTGGAATATGGAAGTACTGGAACTTGGAGTTTCTTCTGGATTCTTGAAGATAGTTCTAACAGTTCCATCTATGGATCTCCTGAATGTTGCTTCTGTGAATTGGATGGGTTTCTGGTTACTATGGAGCTTCTCATAGTTAGTCACCCACTGCATCGGAATATCTCTTGTGAAGAGATATTTCTGGGGATTTGAACTATGGAAGGTGTCTTGGTTGTTGACCAAGACGAAGAGTGCTCCATTTTTACAGGATGGTAACGCAAGATTTATCGCATGATCTTGCAGCCTGTATATGATTTGATGATGAAGAGTAGCCGATAGAACATCAGCTACTTGTTCAGCTCCAGTAATCTAGATCTGAGAGATTGTGGGATCCTTCAAGCTAACGTTGAAGTTTGGGAAGATGGTGAGAACTACACTTCCAGCATGAAGAGTAGTTAGAACAGTACCGATAACGGCATGCTCATAATGAAGGTAGCTAGAGTCTAAGAGAGAGACTCTGGCTGAGACAGGTAATCCTCGTCTTCCGTGAAGAGAGAGGACAAGTCAGATTGCTCCATAATGGAGATGGGTGTAACCTTCACTTTGCCAATGTCGGATGAGATATTTGGGGATCTCAATGTTGATATATTGTTCTTCTGTAGTGGATGCTAAGGCGCACTGGTCCATCCTGGAGGATTGGACGTACTCCTTGACATGAGGTCTTCTGGTGGAGAGAAGGCGAGTAATAGATCTAAGAGTAGATCTTTGTCTCCTAAAAATATTGTAAGGACTAAGAAGAGGACTAAACGTATCAGAAATCTGAGCGTCTTCTGGGACATAAGAGTATTCTATAAAGTTTTCTATTTTTGAAGAAAGAGTTTTTGAAATATTTTTGGGAAGGGAAAGAGTTGAGTTTAACAAAACGGGATCATCGGAACCAGACTCTGACGGTGGTGTTTGGCTATTCATGTTTAAAAGTTTCTCTTACTCACTTTCCACTTATAATTCCTACTATTATATCCCCTTATGAAAAATGGTTAGGCTTTGATACCATTTCGGACAGAGACCCCTTCTTATCCAGAATAGCAAAGAAGTTCTATGAAATAATATAATTTATCTTGTCAGCATTAGTTGGGACAATATCAAAAAAATTATAGGTTACATTTAGAGTAGGCTAACTAAGAGAAACAATTAAGTTATTTATTTATTTACTTGCTAAATTATTGGTGGAGTTCATTAACTTTGATGATATCTAATTTCTACTGTTTGTTTTATCATTTTTAATAGAATATTTATTTTAACTGATTTTTTATTTATTTATGACTCAAATTTCAGACCTTATTTACTATATTCGAGTTTAGTTTCATATATTATACCACATAGGGATATTCACTTTGGTCTAAAATTTCACATCTGGAATGGATCCCTGCCATTCAAATTACTATTATTTCATCTTAACAATCAAGAAAGAAATAAAATAAAATAAAAAATTGAAAAAAAATCACGAGTTTCGCTGATGATTCTACTTTAAGGAAAGCGTGCAACGGACAGTTATATATATATATATATATATATATATATATATATATATATATATATATATATATATATATATATTATTCTACTTTGTTATTCTCTAACTATAGTTGAATATAAAAATCCAAACTCATCCATTATTCTTCTCTAACTAAAAATTGCATATAACTTTTAAATATAATTCATACAAAGCCGTTATAGGGTGTAAGAGGACAGGATGCTAAGATGCAGCAGATGTCAATAACAAAACCAAAATATTAAGACATAATATTAAATTTGTAAGTCTCTGAATAACTTTTTCATTTCTATCCAATCCAATAAGGAAACTCTTCAACTCTAACACTTCTAACATGATTTTGATGAATAAGCCTGTAATTGAAAGTCCATATGTTCTCAACATGTTGAACCTGGTGCCAGCCAAAAAAGGTCAAGCCTGCTCTAAATTCTGAAGCAGCTAGATATCTCCGTTCATCAAGTGATCTATCTTAAAAGTTATAGTTAACACTTAGAAGGGCCCTTTCTTTTAAAAAATAATGATTAATTGATAGGAAAATATAAATCAATTTTCACTAGGGAGTAACGCATAATCATATATCATGATGTAAAGAGCCATCTTTCTTGGTATTCTGTAGTAGCCTGCTCTACCTCTGTCAAACTTATTTTGGAGACAGATCTTTCAATAGGCGGGACCAAAAAATTTTAAGGGCCGGCCTTAGCTTGTTTTTCAATATCTCATTCCTTACTTTCTACTACAGACCATTGCTTTATTCGTCATTGGCAATGTAAAATTTCAGGCCATAATCAATGTAGAACGATTCGTCCGCCATAAAATTCTCATCTCTGCGTAACAACACTTGATGTTGCTACAGAACTGCATTGTTCATGTAGTTGTACAAACTTTTGCTTTGCCGAGGACAAAAAATTGTCGACTAACTGCCTTTACTTAAATCACCTGACTTCCCTCAACATTTTTAACACTCATCAATGATAAATTGAACATCCTGCAAAATGAACAGATGACCAATCTATCTAAATTTTCCGTATCCTTCAATAATAGTTGAGTCTACGCACCCACAAAACAACTATTTACACGCCTCTAATTTACCAAAATGAGCAAAGGTCACTATGTTATTCTTCCAACACCGATGCGTCAGCTTTTCCCCCGCATATGGCCCTAGCCTGTGTCACCAAAAATTTCTACAAGAGCAGGCCCCATTAAGGAAGTGGTGGAATCTCGTGTTATCCCTCACAACAATTTTTCTTCCAGTAAGTTTTGATGCTCCACACATCACAATATGACAATCCTCACATATCCTAAGGTTCTTCATAATCTTTACGGCGGAACCAGCATCAGTACTAAGCAATCCAAACGCCAAAGCTAGTTTTTCGCTATGAGCCATTAGTAAAAGCCTCTTTTCTTTATCATTAATATCATAAGGCACCGAACTGAGGTTTGGCTGGTATCCAATACCTTTCAGCCGTTCCAAAAGTTCATTTAATTCCTTCTTTATCTCATTAATTTGTGGATGCTTCACATCACCAGCAACAAACTTGTGAATCATTCCATTTTTTGCTTCAACCCAGCTCCACCCTGGATTTTTTTTCAAATTTTTCTCTCTGATCAATTTCCTGACCCTAGACACATCATCCCATCTTCCAGCTGATGCATAAGTATTAGAAAGTAACAAATAATTCCCTATGTTATCAGGTTCAAGCTCAAATAAACGCTTAGAAGCAATTTCCGCAACTTCAGGATTCCCATGGATGTGGGATGCTCCAAGAAGTGCTCCCCACACAGCTCCAACAGGCTTCATAGGCATTGTCTCAACAAGCCGAAGTACTTTTTCCAAGTATCCAGCTCGGCCTAGAAGATCCGCCATGCAAGCATAAAGTTCTGCAGTTGGAGCAACACCATAACACTTTTCCATGGTAGCAAAGAGCTGCTGCCCTTGGTTCACCAAGCCTGCATGACTGCACGCAGTAAGCACACCAACAAAAGTAACATGGTTTGGTTTCACCTCAGTCTCCAACATGTCATAAAACAACTTAATCGCTGCATGAGCTCGGCCATGTATAGCAAACCCCACAATCATAGAACTGTAAGAGAACACATTTCTCTCCCTCATTCCTTTAAAGACATTATATGCCTCCTCCACATTACCACATTTTGAGTACATGTCTATCAAAGCTGACCCCACAAGAACATTACTTCCAGCCCCAAATCCAGAACTCTCAGCAATGTCCCTTATCCACTTAGCATACTTAGACGCACCCAATTGAGCACAAGCAGATATAACACCAACCAAAGTAACCTCATCAATCTCCACACCCTCATCTAACAACCGCTGGAAAACCTCCACCGCATTCTTCGGCATGGCATTCTGCGCATACCCGGTAACCATCGCAGTCCAAGCCACCATATCCTTCACAGGCAACCCATCAAACAAGTCCTGTGCCGCCTTCATTTCGCCCCTCCTCGCGTAAGCAACAATCAGCCCGGTCCAAGAAACGACATCCCGCTCAGTCATTTCATCGAACACCCTGCGCGCGCAACGCAAAAGCCCACATTTCATGTACATGTCGATCATAGTGTTGTTGACGAACAAATCAGAAGCAAACCCACCAACCAAGAGTGTCTGGGCGTGGAGCTGCACCCCCAAAGTGGCGTCGCTAGCAGCGCCGCAAGCGGAAAAGAGAGCGGAGAAGGTAAACGACACGGGAGTGATGCCTCGTTTGCGCATGGAGCAGAAGAGGCGAAGGGCTTGGGAGAGGGGTCCTCGGAGGGCGTAGGCGCGAATGAGAGCGGTCCAGAGAAAGGGGTTTGGGGTGTGGACCTGTGCGAAGAGAAGGCGAGGGTAGGAGTGGAGGGGCACATGGCGGAGCGTGGTGATGACGCGAAGGAGCTTGGTGATTACGTAGGAACATTGGTGGAGGTTGTTGCGGTATATGTGGGCGTGGACTTGTTTGGCGTGATTGAGGTTGGTGCAACCGTCGAGAATTCTCACCACTTCAGACTCCAAAACCCTTTGCACAACCATGTCCAACTCTTCTTCCTCGCTTGTTCATTTCCCTTATGGAAACTGATTCATAATTTTATAGCGATTACACCGACAAAGTGACACTTCTACAAAAAATTTAAAAGCTTACATAGACATGAATTGATTCTATGGATACACAGTGATCGCAGAATACTTAATAGTTCTTACTTCCTTCGAGTAAAAGAGGCCACTACAGAAAAAAAAATTGTTAGGCTGCGGAATCATTGCAAGTTTTGAGCTTGGAAAATACTTGTAAAAAGATGAAATTTGTACCCTAATAAACCCATTCATTCCCCCAAAAACATGCAAAGACCAACTCATTCCAACATTACCAACGGAACATGAACCATTTTTCTTCAGGGAAGCCTAATTCAGATTCTGAATTTAGAAATGATCATCGGAATTTATTTGAAAACGTGTTATTTTTTTATTATGTTTTTTTTGGATTTTTTTAAATTGTAATTTTATAAATTGGAATTATTTAAGATATTGATTTTAGTGTTATATATATATATAAATTATTATAATATATTATATTTATAAAAATTTTAAATTTTTTTAAATATATTTTAATCTAAAAATATGCCAATTATTTTATAAGTAAATAAATATGTAAATTTATTTATTAATAATGATAATATTAATCTAAAATAATATTAATATTAAATTAATAATGTAAACTTAAGAAGTAGTTAAAATATTCAATATCAATGATGAAAGTTTTAAACAAAGAATAATTCTATTTTGAATTATTTAAAATACAAACATAAATAATATAAGAACATACTAGAAGTGAAACCTAAATCATTAGGACTATCACATCGATTTTTATGTTTTGATGAAGATTCTTTATTACTTTTAAAAAAATTATATTAAAAAATTGATCTTAATTTTTCTTTACCAAAAATAATTTAAACTAAAAACTCAGCCATTTTTTTAATTCTGATTTTCCAGTTTTATTATAGTTTAATTAAAATGTAATTATTTTAAAAAATTAAACCACTTTCTAGACTAGTTCATGATTAAACCAATTTAACTAACTAACATTTCCAAAATAGAGTCTTTAGGTGAATCATGAATAAATTTTTGGAGATCTAGAATCTTCGTATTTAAGCAAATTTTTACGTTTTTTTTTTAAAGTTCATTTTAAAATAATATTATAATTGATTATTAAGATTACATAATCATGGGTTTTGATATTACAATAAATATTACTTTTTATATGTAATGAATATATCACCAAATTGCCCACTTCACTTCCCTTTACATCCATCTGTTACTTCCCTTTCTCTGCTAAATAATCTGTAATTGAAAGGCCCTATAATGCATATTATATTAGTAGAAAGAGCAAACTTAGCAATTGCTATGAGACTTTGCTTCCCAAAAGACATTAGTCCAAACAACTTGGTCCTCATGTTGATAGGTAGGTGTAAGAAATGGAGCACGTGATCAAGTAAGTTGGCGCTTGATCTCAATTTTGATTTTTCTACTCAGCAACATCACTATTCACCATCACCAATCACCTAATAAAGAAACCTTTTTTTGCGAGAGTGTACGGCGGTGGTTGAAGCTTGGAAGTTGTTTGGATAGTGTGGGACCGTTACGTTCATGTTGATCATCGGAATCCATTTCTATTCGATTTAAAAAAGTACTTACTTCGAAGTGTTAGGTGGAGTGAAGGTATTGCATGATTAAACTTGGATGACCTCAAACTCAACAACCCCTCTGCAAGTTTTCGTTCAAATTCCAGGTTTGAAAGAGGGGTAAAAGAGATGGGGAAGAGTGTGAGGGAATTGGAAGTGGAAGACTTGGTGAATGCAGGGTTGACTGTAGCTGAAGCCAACGAAGTACATCGCGTTTTGAGGGATATTCTGTCTCAGTGTCTCTCTCCCACCGACCCCTCATTCATATGGCGCCGCCTTCTCGCTCACAAACTCCTCAAACCATCCTTTCCACACTCCTTCCATCACCTTCTCTACCACTCTGTTTATCACTCTGCTTTCCACTCTCAACATGCTTCCCTTCCACTTTATTGGTTCCCTTCTCTGTATGTCTTTCTCTGCTTATCACTTCTCACCACTGCAATACTAACTCACCTACTATCTCTCTCCATATGTCAATCTCCACTCACTTCTCCTTTTCATTTCAGGGAGCACTCCAAACGCACCAACCTTGGCCGTTTCATGGAGACTCATGCCCCTCAACTTTTAGGACTTTCCTACAAAGACCCAATTACCAGTTTTCCTCTCTTTCAAAAGTTTTCTGTTCAACACCCTCAGGCAAGCAAACACAACAACCCTTCCACTTCTTTTCCTTTCTTTCATTCCATTCTGTATTTTCAACATGTCTTGTTTTGCTTGTTTGTTGATTGTTATTGTCAATGCAGCTGTACTGGTCCCTTGTTCTGAAGGAACTTTCGGTCACCTTTGTTGAACCTCCCAAGTGCATTTTAGATACTTCTGACCCTTCTAGACATGGAGGGACTTGGCTTCCCGGTTCCGTCCTCAACATTGCTGATTGCTGTGTGCAACCCAGTTCACATCCCTACAAACCAGATGACAGTTTAGCCATTGTTTGGAGAGATGAAGGTTTTGATGATTCCGAGGTTAATCGTATCACGCTTAAACAACTCCGACAACAAGTAATGTAAGCCTTTCAACTCACTCTTGCTTTTGGACCAAAGTTGTTTTACACAATATAGGGAGTCTGATCTCTTGATTTTTTTCTTCATATTTTAGTTCAGTCTTTTGGAAAGCTATTTTTCAGTTGCATCATTACACTTTTCTTTTTGTCTTTGCTTCCTCTCCGTTTAGGATTTAGATTTAAAGTGATAATGATCTTTTCTTTTTTTATTTTGATCATGTTTTTGTCATATTATTTCCAGGTTGGTAGCTAAAGCAATAGATGCCACATTCTCAAAGGGAGATGCAATCGCAATTGACATGCAAATGACAGCCAATGCCGTAATCATCTATTTAGCCATTGTCCTTGCTGGATGCGCTGTAGTCTCAATAGCTGATAGTTTTGCACCAAAAGAGATTGCATCTCGCCTCCGTGTTTCCAAAGCAAAGGGTATCTTTACACAGGTGATGTTTCAATTATAAAGCTACTGTTGATTGAATGAGACTATTCAATCCTTGGAATTGTCTCTATTCTTTTGTACTCACCAATTTGTGCAAATTAGTATGTGTGAAGCAATGCTAACATTACCAAATCTTTATATGTTAGAGAATAAATGCTGTCCTTTCAAGTTCCCTTTGGAAGCTTAATCTTCTATGTTAGGCATTTCTTGAAGGCTTCAACTTTTTAAACCAAATTTGTTAATAACATGCATCTTGTGTTGTTAAAATCTCCTTTTGAAAATTTCACTGTGTTACTGACAGTTGACTAGTATTACATATATTTAAAAAAAAAAAAACTATACAGAAAAAGCTGTTTTTGGAAACTAAATTGCTGAAGTTCCCATATACCAAACAAATCGATGGCTTATAAATTGCATATATTAGAAGCTTAGAGTTTATAGGTATTGGCTAAGATACAACCATTCATACAATCAACTTCTGATGGATGCCTACCACTACAGCCTACGTGAACGAGAAGAAATGTAAAGGGAAAGGTAATGGATTAACGATTGACATGAGCAAGAGAAGTGAGGGAAAAGGGCATGTGCATAGGGGATTTCTGGTTTGTAACTGCTAGACAACTGGCAAAGGGCGGGAGAGGAAGAGTGAGCATTGAGGAAGGTGTGAAATCTGTTAAAGGCAGACGAGTTCAGTGGAAAGAGTGAGACTTGGAGGAGGCATCCGTGTTTCTTGTTTCATTTTCTGCAATCTCTTGTTGAATTCCCATTTCATGCAACATCAGAGTGGATTTCTATGAATCTCCAATTATTTGTAACACATTAAGATTGTTGTGTTTTACTCAACTTTATTTTGTTCCCAGGATTTCATAGCCAGAGGTGGCAGGAAATTCCCTTTATACAGGTAAATAAATGTTGTCATTAAACCCATAGCTAAATTTTCAGCAGTTCAACTTCCAAGTATAGATATTATATCTTAAATTAGCCAAGGGTGCTTCTCTGAAGCTAGACTACCAATACATCTATTTCCTTCTCTAAAAATATGTGATATATGAAAGTACATGTGTTTTAAAATCTGCATGCTATTCATCCGTGTATTCTTCAGTCTCCAAGGGAGCAGAGGGTGTTTAGAAAAAGCTGTGACCACTTATTTAGAATCGCTCTGCAACCATATGAATCTCTAAGATTTCTTATAAGCAATCTCAATAGAATGGATAATCCCCATAACCTCTACCTCAAGTCGAGCTAACCTAAAGAGATGTAGAGGAACATCCCATATTCTCAGTTCCTAGAAAATCCTCCACAAGCCAGAATATTTAGATGCGTCATGTTATGTATGCTCCGTATTTATCACATTTAATCCAACCATGATCCGAGGGCAACCTGTTAACTTGAACAATTTCAAAAGCTTAAATTCTTTTATTTTTGAGAACATACATTTGCAGATACTACTCGTGAGATTCACAGCAGAAAAAAATTTTGTTCTTCACATAATGATAGGATAATTTCAGGTTATCAAATCTGAAGTTATTTACACTAGTCCATATTGCAGCAGTAGTATAGATCACCCCAATTATTGCAGACTTGCATAATAAAACTCTATGAAGAGGAATCCAAGTGTTTTAAGAACCCTGTTTTCTGTTTCTCATTTATGCTTCACTTAATTTTTGGCATATGTCATAGGAAAAAGTAGTATCACAAATGAATGGTTTGAAATAATGAATTTATTTTTCAGTTATAAATAGAAAATTCAAATTAATTTCAGTTTTAATAATTCTTCTTCACATTACCTATTCAGATGCTAATTCAAGATTCTATCTCAAATACTTTACTCTTTCCTTGCTTGATGCATTTGTTGTACTCCATCTAATATCTCCCGAATCCTTCTTGAATTTTATTCTTCCTCTTGAGTTAGTTCAATATCTTGCAAACATGTTCTCTGATAGTTGTTGTTCCGGGTGCTAGTTAAATCTCTAAATTAATCTAAAAGACCTCTTTGTTGGTAACAAAATTAATTAGCACACTTGAGTGACATGCACCAAAAGTAGAAGTCTCCCCCTTCACTTGGATCCGATTAACATATAGAATAGAATTTTAACAACCAACATTTCCTTTGCATTCTAAAATTATATACATTGCTCAATAGATGTTCAGAAATTTTAGAAATTAATGTACTACTGGTTCTCTTTGGGCAAAGTTTGTATTATACTCATTTTGCTTTGCTGTCCAAACCTTGTAGGCAGTGCTCATGTTTGAATGTCTGTTAATTAGATTTATGGTAGTTCTTTAAGCACATAGACCACTGGAAACCTCATTCTGTTATTTCCCCATGCAGTCGGGTCATCGAGGCTGCTGCATGTAAAGTTATTGTGCTCCCTGTGCTGGGTGATGATGTAGGAGTTCAATTAAGAGAACAAGACTTATCATGGAAAGGATTTATCTCTTCTGCAAATCAGACTCAGAACTCCAGGTAATCCATACTGCAATGTGTTCACTAAACAATTTCAGAGTCTTAAGAAATGGTCATTCTTTTAACTAAAATAATTACTGTTAAAGATCCCAGAAACCAAAAAGAGAAAAAAAATAAAAAATAGTGAGTAAGAGAGATGGACAAGTTGCATGTTTCTTTTCATCTGCTTTTCTAACCTTAACATTTAACTCTGGGCAGGTCAGATTATTATTCTCCAAGCTATCAATCAGTTGATTCTGTTACTAATATACTATTCTCTTCTGGAACCACAGGTAAAGATCCTCCCTTAGAATGTATCAGATAGAGACTACTACTATTATACTGATATATGGTTATATATTGACTTTCATCAGGGGATCCAAAAGCTATTCCTTGGACTCAACTTGCACCAATACGAAGTGCTGCTGATGGATGGGCTGCCATTGATGTTCAACCTGGAGATGTCTATTGCTGGCCTACAAATTTAGGATGGGTGATGGGACCAACAATATTGTATCAATGTTTTCTAATTGGTGCAACTTTGGCTTTGTATCATGGGTCTCCTCAAGGTCGAAATTTTGGAAAATTTGTTCGGGTAAATCCCCAAAATCAAATGTTTCATCTTATATAATTTATTTTTACATTTTTCTATAACCAGTAATTATTATTTTAATAAACTAAAAGGTTGTGACTGCAAACCATATTATAAATGCTTGTTAATAAGTAAAGAAGAAAGTGAGAAACACTTGTGAATTGGTATTATCTCCATAGACATTGTTGATAACAGTTGCTACCTTCGCGAACACTTGATAAGTACCCAAACACTTGGAGAACTCACCCTCAGGTACTAAGTGGAAAACTAAACAAAGAAATACTCCACCAAGCTTTCCATACTACTTAATGTGGGACTTAGGCACGTCATAATAACCCAAATTCCTGTCACTTTCATCATTTAAGCTGTAATAGGCTGCCTCAGTGAGCCATGATCATTTAAGTTTACATATTACTTTATGCAATTTATTTTTCCAAAAGAATTGAACTTTAATATTTTACCATGCAGGTAGTTGACAAGTGATTAAAAGAAAGTAGGATGTTATCCCTGCCTACTATTTGTTTTCCAACTTTGAATTCAAAACTCAAACTGTTGATGGGACTACCACACATAACATTCTTTATCCCTCACCGAGAATGCCTAGAATCTAGAATGCAATATATTTATATCTTTATATATGTATGTATGCCGTGGTTTTATATGCTTACACATGAATATTTCAATGCACACACAAGCATGCACACCCTCACACATGCTTTTGGTATATGCACCTTGGTAAACTTGACTCTATGTTTTGTCAACGGGATCAACACAAAAGTACTTTCCTTGACAAGATCTTGTTTCTTTAACTTTAAAGCATAGTCCTGAAAAATTAGTTTCTCCTAGAGGTCATGGTACAACAATGAAGTTGTCACCCTTCCTCATGGTCCCACCCTGTGTGTCATGGTAGAAGAGGGAAGTAACCTCTCTTACTAGAACATCTTTGTCCTTGAATCAACTAACGACTGGACCTGAACGAGTGCTAGGTGAAATCTATACTGTTTAAGTAAAGGATGGAAAACCCTTTCTTTAGAAGGAAAGATTTCCACTAATAGAATTTAGCTCAGCAAAAAATGAGTTGGATAAGGTCATAACAAGGATTAGGTTAAATAATAGTACAGCAATGAAAGTGAAAGTGTCATCATAATTGCAACATTGGATGTTTTATAGTTGGTCATCAATAGAATTTGATACATTACACCAAAGCACAACCTTATTTATTGAACTACAATTGTCCAGGATGCAAGTGTTACCATTTTGGGAACTGTTCCAAGCTTAGTAAAAACTTGGAAGAATACACAATGTATGGAGGGCTTGGATTGGACAAAGATAAAGTAATATCTCTCATTAGTGTAAATAATCAAGTTGTTACTAAGAAAAATGAACTGAACTGTGGTTTTTCGCAGAACATTTTGTTCTACTGGAGAAACATCAAATGTTGATGATGATCTATGGCTTTCTTCAAAAGCTTATTACAGTCCAATTGTTGAATTGTGTGGAGGCACTGAGCTCGCGTCTAGCTATATTGCAGGAAGTCCCCTGCAACCTCAAGCTTTTGGAGCATTTAGCACGGCATCGATGACAACTGGTTTTGTCATTTTTGATGAAAATGGAGTTCCTTATGTAAGAAAATTTTCTGGATAGTTTAAGAAGTTCTTTGGTCATGATTTTTTACTTATGCTTCCAATCGTGACATCATTACATCATACTCATATCCGGGGTGCAATTTTGTTATCTGCACGCTGGATCTGCCTACTACATCTTTTGTTTTCAATTCTTCTAAGATTCCTTACACTCCTGAATTAGGTTGCTTCATTTTCAGTAGCAGATGTCCCAACTTAATAGCAAACCTATCTATGGGATTAGATAAATTATATTTTAGGTTTTCTAATATTTGATCTCTTTGACTAATATGACAGCCAGATGATGTTGCTTGTGTTGGGGAAGTGGGCTTATTTCCTCTCTCTCTGGGAGCATCTGACAGAATTCTTAATGCTGATCATGAGAAGGTTTACTTTAAGGGAATGCCCATTTATAAAGGAAAGGTAGAACGTCATTAATATGTTTTGAATGATTTTCACACTCAGATACATCTATCTTAAAATATTACACCATCTCTCGTCGATCTGGAAGCAATTTTGGTTGCATTGCATATATGTTAATAGCCTTGTTTCATAAGCACTTGTCTTCATGCACACTTAGCAAATTACACTGAAAAGCAAATCTAGTTAGAGTTGAAATATAGAAATTTCTTTCATTCGGAACTTCGGATGTTTTATAGTTGGCCATCAAATGCCACCAATGCCCATGAAAGCTTTTGATGTCCAAAAAATATTGTAGATCAGTAAGACCTCCATTGAAGATTTTCAAATAATCCCTTGGTGAACTACATAATAATAGAATAAATCATTTATAATTTTAGCTGATCTTGTTCTATTACTATGGTTGACGGATATATTGTTGTAAATTTATTAACAGGTTCTTAGGAGACACGGAGATATAATCAAGAGAACAGTTGATGGATATATTGTTGTACAAGGGAGGGCTGATGACACCATGAATCTTGGTGGAATAAAGGTATCACTCTTCCATGGAGAAAGCTGAATTAGAAATTAATCAGCAATTTCAAAGATTCCGATGATAATCAAAACTATCAACCAGGGAAGCAATAGAAGAATACACCTCTTAAGAGAAATTTTCATTCCTTGATGTGTGATATCTGATCAACTTTCCATTTGCAAAAGGATGAAACAGAAATTGCAAGAAAAAGACACAATGTTAAACCATAACTCTGTTACACTTGATAATGAACTACACTCCATCCAGCTCAACAATCCATTCCAGCTAAGCAACTATAATCATAAACATTGGAAACAACTATATTAACATTCTTTAAAGAAAAGAAAGTTTAACTAATCGCCCATAGTAATTAGCCATCTTGTGACTTTCACTTCACCTTCTATATTTCTGTTTTTCACCCTTCCAGTTCTACACTGACTAGGGGATGAAGCGTTTGAAGGATAAGTCTGCTGGATACACATATGTTGTGAGAATACTATATCTTTCCATGTGCCCGGTCTGCTTAAACATAATCAGAGTGGAAGATAGTCTAACTGACAGTGGATTATTTAGAAATTCTTAAACTTCATAAGAATGGTTTATCTTGCTTTCTTACACACATGATGTAAGACCTCTATCATAGCTTTCATGTCCATGATCTGCATTACAGTTAGAATGTAACACTCTATCGGGTGCATTGATATAACAACTTCTTAAACTTGCTTGGTTCTTGCTCTTTTCTATTCTTGGAATAGAAGTTCTTTTAAATTTGAAATTTCTGTCTCATACGCAGACAAGTTCTGTAGAAATTGAGCGTGTCTGTGATGGGGCTGATGAATGCATTTTGGAGACAGCTGCAGTAGGTGTGGCAACTACAGATACAGGCCCAGAACAACTGGTTATATTTGTTGTTTTAAAGAAAGGATACAATTCCAGTGCAGAAACTCTGAAGTTGAAATTCACTAAAGCTATTCAAAGCAACCTTAACCCTTTGTTTAAGGTCTGACCCTTTGTTGGTTTTAAAACAATTGTGAATTGATTTTGGTTTAGTACTCTGAAAACTGGCCTGAATTGGGATCCTAAAGTTAACTGATTCATCATACACAAACTATTTCATTACATTACAGGTAAGCATGGTTAAAATTGTGCCCGACTTTCCTCGAACATCTTCCAACAAGATCCTGAGGAGAGTACTGAGGGACCTAATGAAGCATGAGCTATCAGTTCAGAGCAGACTTTAGTGAAACTACAAATTCTCAGAAGACCAGAGCAGACTCCATCATTCAGTTATCTTCATTTGGAAAATTAAGTGAAGCATTATTTGTGTGAGAAATGAACATGATAGTCAGTCCTTGGAATTGGAAGCATGAAAATTTCACTTTTATATAACACAGACTAAGAAAATTATTCACCTTTATAGGTGTATGAATATAGATATTTTTAAATACCATGTTGCAGGAAATGGGTAATTGTAACCATTCAATGCTGTGAAAGCAATTCAACAATAAAATGAGGTCTTTCCCATTAGATACATGATTTTCCCATTATTAAATAATTTTCATTATCGTAAATTATTAATTAATTAATTATGTAATATTTCTACATTAATTTCTTAGATACATGTTTTTAAAAGATACAGTTTTGATCAAGCAATTAAAGGAAAAAAGGTTAACTCTAAACTTGCACTTTAACTTTTGGAGCAAAATCTTTCCCTGTTGGAGTAAAACAGATTGCTTGTATTGATTATTTAAGTAAGAAACAAAAGGAAAATGATTTAGAAGTAAACATTTGGATTGCATATAACACTCGATTCATTTATGCTCAATCATACAAAACAACGTGAAAATGACTGTCACAATGATACAAACAAAGTACTTGGAACAGAGAAAGATGTTAAAGTTTATTTGTAACTGTAAAATATCTAATTTTATAACTTGAAATGTTAATGATAAAAACATATAACAAAAATATGTTTTAAATTTTTTATACATATGAGATTGTTTTATTTTTCTGTTGAAATATAATGTTGTATAATTCAAAACTTCTTTTCAATAAAATAAATAAATAAAAACTGTATATTTGAATGAATAGGGAAAATTTGTAGTGTTTTCTTAATATTTAGCGAATATTAATTTATTTTAAAAATCTAAAATTTGAGATGTTAAAAACATTAATTTTTTTGTAAGAAAATATTAAATTGTATTAAAAGATTATATTTTTGTTAAGCATACACTTTTTTTATACAGAATACTATTAATAATATTTGTAAAAATTTACTATCAAAAGATTTTTTTTAATATTAAAATTGCCTAAATTTGATCTATAATTAACAATGTCACAAATTTGATGTGTTGCCCATATTATCTATTGAAACTTAAATATTGAAATAACTTAAACATATAGTTTGATATATAATTTTGTTGGAGAAAATTACGAAGATCGGTAATTTATACTACCTTTATTATTTTTAAATTATCAGATTTTCCTATAGCAGCACTTGTGTTAGGTTTTGGGCCTTTTCCTCGTTGTCTGGTGACCCAAAAAGAAACAAAAATTGAAGTCGTGACAGATAGAACTTAGTAGTAGCATAGATAATTTACTGGAGGTGACAGCGAGGAGAAAAAAAAAAGGCTAGCTTCCCTCGTTTCAGTGGACTTCTTGCTCACAATTTCGAAGCTTTAGTTGAATCATTTCCCACGTTCACGACCCCAAAACAGAGTAAGGGTTGATTCATGTAAATTCTGGGTTATCATGTGTGTTTTGACTCTTGAGCACCAACTGTTTGATAAAAGAATCCAACCACTTATTTGAATTTAATGTTACTCTGTTTATTTTCTCTGCAATGATTATGACAATCTTCTCCTGTGTGACACTCTGCTGAACAGGGAGAGACTTTTTATTCAAGACATATAAATGTATTTACATTGACAACCTTGTCAAATCACGAAAATGCCGTTTCTCCAAACTGTTGTCTCACCTAGACGCTTCTCACCTTTTTGTGATGCCACTTTGCATCCATTGTTATCACTTAGTATTAAGAATCCTATGTTGGAATGTAATCACAGATTTTCTCATTACTCCCCTGTATCTAACCGCCGCATTGTAAAGTCTATTTCATGCTCTGGTTCTACAAAGTCTCGTCGTCCAAAACCCGAGCCTGAGCCCGAACCTGAAGCTGGTTCGAACCAAAGAGCAAGGCCGAAGACAAGAAGCAGAAGTGGCCAACCTAAAGATGTGGTGTCCAGCAACACTGATAAGAATTCTGCCGAGACATTCCCCACGACGATTCCAAGGAAGCCAAGGCGTGGTCGCCGGAGTGAAGCTGTGGCAGTGGAAGATTTGGTGCGTGATTCGCTCGAGCGCACATTTGCCACAATTCGGCAACAAAACGAGAATGCTTTGGAGAATTATGAGAATATAATGAAGGAGAGGGAAGGTGACAATTCTGAAACCGAGAATGGTGCTAATGACAATGATAGTGATGAGAAAGAGGAAGATGGTGGTGAAGGTACAGAAAAAAAGATAGTGATTGAGGAAGAAAGTAAAAACTGGCCATTGGATGCAGATGTTGGATGGGGAATAAGAGCTTCTGAGTATTTTGAGAAGCATCCAATCAAGAATGTGGTGGGAGAAGATGGGTATCAAATAGACTGGGAAGGGGAGATCGATGACAACTGGGTTCAGGAAATCAACTGTTTGGAGTGGGAAAGTTTTGCTTTCCATCCCAGCCCATTAATTGTCCTTGTCTTCGAACGTTATAACAGGTAATTTTCACTGTTATGGGTTTCCCTTTTGGGTCTCTACATAGATTTGCTGAGATAAAGAATAATATTATTATTAATTACTGGTAAAATGTTCATGGATGGACCAACTGGTAACACTTAATTAGATGGTTATATCTTCTCAACTAGCACTCGTATACCATGAAAATAAAATGAATATGGTTGAAAGTAAAACTGATTTTTCTTTCAGATGGGAGAAATTCGATGTATCAATTATTAGTTTACAATTTTTGTTAACTTGTCTCTAACGAAACTTCTTTGAAAGGATTTTTTTTTTTTTTTTCTTGAAATGGTTTGCTATACCTACTTCTAACATGTCATTTCTTCACATAAGATAACTGTCGTTTATTCAGAGGCTCGTGATAATGCGCATGAATGTGGGAATGCATAACAAAGTTATCAGAAAAAAATTTCTGTTGCAATCTATTTCAATTGAATATTTCCTTTTCTATGTAAAAATTTGAATATTTGAAAATGCCAGAACCCCATATATGGTGAATGATATGTTGGTAATCTTAGTTATTTATAGCTAAATATGATGGCTTTTAGATTGGCGTTTGATTTTGTCGTCCCACAGGGCAACTGATAACTGGAAAAACTTGAAAGAGCTGGAGAAAGCAGTAAAGGTATACTGGAAAGCAAAAGATCGGTTGCCTCCCCGGGTATGGTGTTCTCCTTTGTGTTAAAACTGCATTTTAATCTATTTATACATGCCTAAAATGAAAATGCTGATGCTACTTTTAATCAATTAAAATCTTCCTTCTGACTATGGACTTGTTTGATTTATATAATTATATTTTCTGTCATTTATGACTATGCAAATGTTACAAGTGATAACCTCAATTTTAGAATACCATATAACATATTGAATTTCCTTTTTATAGGCGGTTAAGATAGATATCAATATCGAGACAGATTTAGCTTACGCTTTGAAAGTCAAAGAATGTCCTCAAATTTTATTTTTACGGGGTCAAAGGGTCGTGTACAGGGAGAAAGGTGAAACCATTGATCTTTCTCTTCACTTTTTCTGTGTAGACCAGAGTTTTATTTGGTTGGTACCAAGGTATTTACATTCTCATTGTCTAGGTTCTTTTATAATGATGCACTGGTACTTGTCCCTTTGCAGAACTCAGAAGTGCGGATGAACTGGTTCAGATGATTGCATTTTTCTATTACAATGCAAAAAAGCCTGCGTGGATAGATGATGAGGCCGTGAATTATCGTTATTAATCTTCATGAATGCCAACCTGAAGATTGTGTCTTTGTAATGAAACAAACAAAATGGGTGTTTTTTTGTAAAAAAATATAGAACTACCAAACGATCGGGCACAACCAACTTTAGAAATCTTACTTACTGTACAACAATAAGCATGCATATTAAATCTTACTTAAAGTTCAATTTGCCTTAGGATTTTTTTTATGGGATTTGTGGTGTGTGTAATTCTTTTAGATTTCACTCGTGTTATCCATTCGATTTGCAACTCACATAAAATGTGTAACTTCTACATGAATAATTTCAATAAAATAATAAAAAGATTTGAATAAATAGTCTGTCATTTATTCATGAAAATAGTCCTGATACCTTTCTTGGCTTTGTTTTAAAACTATTGTAAAAGTCATGTAATATTTTTATATGATTGATTAATAATATAAAAAATATATATATACTAGCAAATTCTTTTTTATGAAATTATATGCTGGAAAAATAATAGAATTATATGTTGGTCACAATTCTTTGAAAGGTTTTTATGGCCATTCACATAGAATTTTGGACTCTAGCCTTACCCCACTCAATGGCCATAATCATTCGTATTCCTTTGTGGGTTGGTCCTCTTGGCTTCCAAGCGATGCATATGACTGAATATGGTGCTGTTATTCTCTATCAAGTTAAACAACACAAACAAACAAGAAGTGGCACATTTTTTTGGATTCTATTCTAAGCACCTTTTAAACTAAACATAAAAATTATTCTCTTTCTTTTACGCCAATTTTCGTTAAAAACTAGTCTTAAACAAAAAATTAAAATTGGAAGAACAATGTGATTTTCTTAATACTTATTTTACATATTCTTATTCATTCACAACAAATTATTAAAAATATTAGTCAATGATATTATTAGTATTGTTCATTAAAAAACATAAACTCAAACATTAAAAAAGTTATGTTATGACAAAGTTGCAATACCCATCTCAATTGTCTTCAGAACAAGATGGCTTTCATTCTCTTTAAACCTATAAATAAAAAAGTTTGTAACATGTTAACATCTTTTTTGTCCTTAATTAAAGGACAGAGGAGTGTGAAGGGGACAAAAGTTTGATGTGATAAGGGAGGGGCATTGTAGGAGAAATCCTAAGGGAAAGAGTTTAGTAGTTTGAGGTTTCCACAAGTTTTATATCCACGGCAGCAACAACCATTTCCACAAGTTGGCACATCTGATGGAATCACACGTCCTCATGTGGAGCACCAACATTACATAATAGATTCCCCAAATCTCAATTCTCATTTCTCTAAAATACCCTTTTTCCATGCCCTAATTTACATTTATAATCCCTATTCACATGATTATTATAAAGGTTATATAAGATTGGCACATGCAAAGGGAGTGAATTTTAAAAAGTAGAACTTACCCCACAAATATATTAATATTAAATTTTGTTGGTAAACAACTTGTACATACTTCTATAAATGTTAATTTTTTTATGTGAAAATTTTATAATTTCACATCCTCAATATAATCCCCATGGAGTATGGAGGGACATGTCCTCAAAGCGGTACCATGGTCCTTCCTCACTTTTCCACACTTCTCAATCCTCATTTATTTGCAATATATCAAAGAAACCAACCAATCACACAACCTTCTTCTACACGTCCACACACACTGAACCACACATACATCATACGCACCATTTGTATACATTTGCAATTTTCATATACTTAACCAAACAGGAAACATGCTTCATATAAATGTGTATATAGACAAGTGTGAATATTAAGTATTATTTGTGTATTTAGTTCAATTTATTGTGAGTAAAAAATTAAAGGCGAAATTAGAAATATATAAGAAAATAACAGTTACATGATATAAATCACAAGATTTTATATTTATAGGGATCGATTTAATAGTTGAGAATTTATTACTTGTATAAAAACTATATTAAATTTTTACTTTTTCAACGTTGATTTCGATGATGGAAAACTAGTTTCGTAAATTACAGAGAAATCCAAGGTTAATGACGTATTAACAATGGAAGGAAAAAAGAAATGAAAACCACATTAATTTTATCAAAACGTCGTTCTCTCGTTTGTTGCGGGAAATACCTTGCAAATTGCAATATATAAATGCTTGCCCTACTAAACAGTGTGCTCTCTCTAGGACTCGCTTCATACCTACCCATTCAGCTCTCGGAGCACACCACTCTCGCACTTCTTTCTCGTTCTCCCCTTTCTTCTTCTTCGCTGAAACCCTTTTTTTCCTAACAGCAATGGGAGACGAGAAGAAGCCAAAGCCTGCTGCTTCTGGCGTCTGGTCCACCATCAAGCCTTTCGTCAATGGAGGAACCGCTGGCATGCTCGCCACCTGCGTCATTCAGCCCATCGATATGATCAAGGTACGCCAAGTTTTCACCTTTCTGCCTTCTTGGCTTTGATTCCTCCGAATTGTATTCTGGGTGTCTCTGATTTTTGTTGCTGGGTTCAGATCTGTGGTCTTTTGTGTACGATCAATGTTTATGTGTTGTGGGGTTTGATTGGTTTGGTGGTGTAGGTGAGGATTCAACTGGGGCAAGGATCGGCTGGGCAGGTCACTTCCAACATGCTCAAGAATGAGGGTGTAGCGGCCTTTTATAAGGTTTTTTATTTTATTCCTACGTTCTTTCTTCTTGTTGTTGTTGATGTGTTTGTTTCATTTTCTCTAATTATGGATCTTTGCTCGATTGGTTAGTTCATCATAATGTCGTGTGTTGTGTTTCTTTCACCATTTTTTTATTACCTACTATAGATCTGCAAGTGGAAGTAGATTTTTCATATGTTATCGTTTTGCTCTTTGGTATTGTTATCGAATGGTGTCTAAATTAAATCACTTTATGTAGGGTCTATCTGCTGGATTACTCAGACAGGCTACATACACCACTGCTCGTCTTGGATCGTTTAAGTGAGTTGTTATGACTATTTTATAACTACTAAATCTTAATTAATAAAAAGAAGAAATTATGGTTTTTATTTCTAAGGTTTTGTTCTATTCCTTGCATTGTTTATGCAATGATACCTTTGATTGTTCTAAGATGTGTAATCTTTTGTGGTTTCAAAGGAAATGCTTTGCGTCTAATTTAATGGTTTTAATGCTCTTTAGAATCTTGACAAACAAAGCAGTTGAGGCTAATGATGGCAAGCCCCTGCCACTGTATCAGAAAGCTCTATGTGGGCTGACTGCTGGTGCTATCGGAGCAACTGTTGGTAGTCCAGCAGATTTGGCACTCATTCGGATGCAGGCTGATGCAACTTTACCTGTTGCTCAGCGCCGCAATTACACAAATGCCTTCCAGGCACTCTATCGAATTGGTGCAGATGAAGGAATTTTGGCACTTTGGAAAGGTGCCGGACCTACTGTTGTGAGAGCCATGGCATTGAACATGGGGATGCTTGCATCCTATGATCAAAGTGTTGAGTTCTTCAGGGATTCTGTTGGTCTTGGTGAAGCTGCTACAGTGCTAGGTAAGAAACCATTTTACTATTGTCAAGTGAGTTTATTTGACTTTTTTGGCTTCAGCTTTATATCTTGTTATAGTATGAATGAGGCAAATAACCTCAGATTTACTTCCTAAAACATGATATAAGGTCAAATTACACCTTCCTAAACATTTTGTCTAAATTACTTTTGGTGCAGACTGTTTAAGATTTTCTGTTGATGCTTCAAGTCTATGCCTTACTTCCCATGACCCCCTTGTAGATTTAACATCATTGAAACAAAACGATTTTGGCAAACCTTACAATAGTCCGGGCATCTTCCAAATCTACTATTATTGTGTGCACATATACAATAGTTGGCATAGTTTTTTTAATGTTTGCTAAAGCAGGCTTTTGTTACATAAAATTTGTATGGCTCCTGTGCACATTTCAAAGCAATTGTCTCTTGAGTACATTTCTGTCTTCTATAGTTTGTCCTTGAGCACCTGAACAGAACACTTTAAGATATTAAAGAGGACGGAAAGACATCTCCCAGCTGTTTCTAATTTTTTTTTTTAGACTTGATTTGGAAACAAATTTCATTACTACATAGATTTTGGATGAGAAGTTTTTGCTGAGTGGTGTGGAATTGTAATAGAAAACAGTCTTTAGAGCAAAGTGCGACAGGAATCAAACATGCCCATAGTATTTCCTTGTTCTGTTTTCTATCATTTAGGACCCGAATATGTTGACATCTATTATTCAACTTCTAGTATGCTCTAGAAGACAAATATCAGTCAATATTTTGAATAGTTTGTGCTATTCAGACAAATGTCTAGTATGCATTAGTAATAGAATCATTGATTACTTCAAAGTTATATCTCTTCAAAATAATTATGTTTTAAATTTACTTGCTGAAGTTTCAATGTCTAATGTCTAAACAAGATGAGATGTTGATTGTATTTTTGCCTAGATCTAGTGGGTGCGGGATACATTTTTATTCATTCTTTGTGATGTTTGATGATAACTTCATATATCTACTTGAGATTTTAATATGTAGGCTATGGAATATGTATTACATACACAAGTCAGTATTTTAGTTTGTTGTTACCCTTTTAAGAATGATATTGTTTTAACCCTTACAAAAACTGAAGTATTTGAATAATTAATTTTTTACAAGATATCATGAGTGGTTGCTACATTTTAAGTTTTGTGTAGTGTGTCTGCAATCATTGATATTTGATGAAAGTTAGAGATGGTTTATCTGCCAGATAATAGTGCACATATCAAAAGGGAACTGAACTAGCATCGTTGGATTTATTGGCCATAGATATGGATTATATATCTATCTTATTTAGTCTAAACTATTAGTTTACTGCATTGTGCACATCAAAAGATAACTGGATTAACATTGTAGGCTTTGATGGAGACCTTAGATATTGAATACTATCGGCCTTCAAAAAACAGTTGGGAAGTTTAGCCTTGTCTACGTTTTAACTATTGTTGTTTGTTTCTTCTAGTTGGGTTCCAAGTATGATTCTGTTTATCACTGGAGAAGTTGTGAAAGAAAATTGAGTCAAGTATTATCTTAATTTATAGACTTTTTGGCTTGGAAATGTTTATTTTCTAGTGCTAGTGATTTTGCTCAGTTTATTATCTATTAAGGAAAGTGGTAATAGGTAAAGAGAAAGGAGTGGTAACTGTGATTTATCTTATATTAGGGACTGAAACATTATAAAATAATAATAATAATAATAGTAATGATAATAATAATAATAATAATAATAATAATAATAATGATGATGATAATAATAAAGGATTTAGCTCTTATCCTAGATGATCAACAATAATGGTTTGAATTTACTAAAAAAAACGGGAGAGACAAGATGTATAACACAACAAAATAGTGACGTTGTTCTAGACACAAGGCTCTCCCACTAACCAACCTTCTAATTTTGCTCACATTGTCCTCACGTCTACTGATTCTCAATCTTTTCCTCTGATTCTCTTCAATCACTTCTTTTAGGAGTCCTCTGTATGACATAATCCTCTTTTGCCTCCTCTTCAACTTCCTAAATTGCCCTTCTGCTCTGCTTTGCTCATTCGTTCAATGCCCCATATTTCCTTCTGTATATATGGGTTAGACATGTATCATCCTGTTTTAATGCATTAAGGTGGTTATTCATATTGGAACTTGTATGTATTTAACAGTGGTGTCATCATTTTGAACATTTAGTCTGGTTTTTCACCCAGAACTTTTTGTCCATGATTTCCTGTTTATACAGGATGAAGGGGGGGACTGGTTGTTCAGATTTTCTGGCACTAACATTTCTGTTGCTACTCATGCAATTTGGCTTTTGCACAATGCCTAAGCTGATATGTTGCTTGTTGTTTTTTCTTTCTGCATTCAATTTGTAATTTCGGTGCAAATTGGTAGTCTTGGATTTTGCTGTTGTAGAGTATTGAAGCATAGGTTAAAATAACTGCAAAATATTTTGTTCTCATTGTTACCAACTAACATTTGTTCTTCTTTAGGTGCAAGTTCTGTTTCGGGATTTTTCGCAGCAGCTTGCAGTTTGCCATTTGACTATGTAAAGACCCAGATTCAGAAGATGCAACCTGATGCTGATGGAAAATATCCATATACTGGCTCTCTTGATTGTGCTGCCAAAACCTTAAAAGCTGGAGGACCCTTGAAATTTTATACTGGATTCCCTGTCTATTGTGTTAGGATTGCTCCTCATGTGATGGTAATATTCTCATCTGACCTATCACGTTTACAACATGATTTCTTTGTTATGTATTTGAATTAATGTTACATTTTTAAAGGGTTAAAAAAGGTTATGAATTTGTTGTGATATATGATTGTATTAATTGGTTATGCAGATGACATGGATCTTCCTGAACCAGATTCAGAAATTGGAGAAAAACTATGGGTTGTAGTTCTCCATACATTTTGTGTTGAATTCAAGCTTTGAGCGTTGAATAATTTGTTGGCTTGTTGTAGCCCTTTTTGGCAGCTAAACACCAATGGAGCTGATCATTTTTTAAGTTTATTAATCATTCGACTGAAGCGGGGAAATTTGCAGACAAACATTGTATTAGTCATAGAATTGGATGCGGCAAGAGCAGAATAGTATAATTCCATTTTTAGCATTGAGAAACTTGTGGAGATATCTAAAACTAGAATAAGCAACACTCTATCTAAGACACCATTTCATCAAGTTTTGTAATTTCCTTCCACTAGTGGGAAGTAATTTTTAAACCACATTTTTTCTAATTTGTTGCAGGTTTTTCCTTTATTATTGTTATTTTGCTGCTGTCTTATTCTTTTCAATTCTGGGAAAGGAATCAATAGATGGAAGGTTTTTTTAATTAAAAGCCACTTTTTAAAATGGATTGGAAATTATAATGAAAGTACAACTTTAAGTGTGGTTTTCTTTATAAAATTGAATTTGGTTAGTGATCAATTTATTAAATATATTTATTACGAGATTCTTTTCAAACTTCTGCATATCTTTTCTTTTGTTCTTTAATCTTATTTAAAAAGGTTAAAATTCAATATTCTGATCTTTTAACAGTTGACCTTTTTAATTAATTGTTTTTTCAATTACTTTTTTAAGCTTATCTCTTCATCAGGAGTTAAATCCTTTTAATTGGTGTTTGCTGTGATATTTTCTACAGGTGCTTCATACATTTTCTGTCATCTATTTATCTTTCTCCATTGGTGTTTTCTTAATATCTGAACATAATTATTTTGCTTTTGTTTTTGCAGTAACAGATTTATCAACCTTTTCATTTCCATTATTTGTACAGAGGAAATACACAACATTTTTCGTGAAATTTTATTTCTTATGAAGATTTTGTAGGATACTGCTTGGAAACTGTTTTAATAGAAAAAACACTCTTTTGAGAAATCAAAGTGATTTAATTATAAAAATAACTGCTTAAAAAGTTGAATATTTTAATAACATAACATTAGATGATGTAAAATTCTGTTGATGTTTGTTGGTTGTTGAATTTGGTAATCCAATATAATAATTACGCTTTTCTTAATTCAATAGTTGTTACTTTTAATGACTTATATAGTGTGCAACAAAAAGTATAGTTATACTCATAGTTATTGAACTCGTCTAGGAGTTTAGTAACCAGATTCTAGTGGAGTTGTGTTTACGAATAATTCGGATAAATGACCTAATTTACGAATTTACTATTCAGTCCATTTGACCTTTTTTTTCTTCAATCATGACCAAAATAAGGGTTTCTCTCTTCAAAAGGAATTGTGAAAAAGGTTTCTCTCTTAAAAAAAAAATGTTGTTTCCTCTTTAATATTAAGTAGTTGAAATTTTAAAATGTATAGAAATGAATTTGGTTCAAATTCAACTATGCTAGGAAATGCTACGAAATTGGTTCAAATTTAGTATCTTGGAATTAGTATTTTATTATTTTCATTAATTATGTTGCTGAATTTTAATTAATATTTTAATCAACAGTGTAATTGGGTGGAGATTTTTAACGGAAATTTGTTTTCAGGAAAATTTACTGAAGATAATTCAATTTAATAAAAATTTGAAATCTTTTATGATAAAAATACGTTAATATTTGAGGAAAAAACTTTAAATAAATTAAATTTTAAAAAATTCATGAGAGTAACATAATTATTTTAAATTATAAAATTTAAAATTCTAAAAAAAAAAGAATATAAAATTCTCTATTATTATCTTTCTCATTTTTATATCTTTCTCTTCTCCTTTTTTTTTTTCATTAGTTTTGTATTGACATTATCTACTCAACTTTGATTAAGATTGGTGGACTCGAATGTAACTGGGTGTAATTGGCTCAAGATTAAGATATTCCGTACTTAATCTCAATTAGGATGTTATTAACTTAGTCTTGAGGTCATCATTTTGGTGTTGGCGAGATCATTGTCAACTCCACCATAGTTAAAATATTATCATATAATTTTCAATTTATTTGAATAAGATTTTCTTTAAATTTAAAATAGACCAGGAATTTTTTTATATTAATTAATATTATTCCTTAATTGATGTTACTAGGTTTTCTTCGTTAATATATTTTTTTTTTAATGTCAAACACAGTTTCTTTGTTCAGTTGTTTAACAAATCTGGTTTTCAATAATTGTAAGTTGAGTTGTTTTTTTAGTGAATATATTTTATTTTTCTTTACATGGTAATTTTTTTTTTGGTTTACTTGCCTCATTCTTAATGAATGGATAGGTTCTGAATATTCACGTATTATAGGTATTAGTTTTGTTGAAAAAAACATGAGTATTTAAACTTAAATTGTTTCGATATTTATACTCAGTTATATTTGAATCAACACTGAGTATCAATTATTGAAAAAATAAATAAAATAAAAGATGTTTACTACAAATATCAATGAATTTATTACTTATCGTGGAAATTATATAAATATAAAAAATTAAGAAAATGAATTTCTTGATTATTAAATCTATTAATTTTAAGTCTATTTTTTTATGGAGAGGAATAATCATCATATCCATAAATAAATAAATATATATATATATATATATATATATACTATTTTTTTAATTTTAATAATAAAAATAATATTGGTAATAAAATATATTGTTATTATTTTAATATAAAATTAATTAATCTAACAAATATTTAAATCCTGAGATTGAAGATTAAAACTTTAAACATATACATATAATAAAATATGTTCAATAATTATTTTCTCAGTTTTGTAAATACATATATATATATATATATATATATATATATATATATATATATATATATATATATATATATATATATATATATATATATATATATATATATATATATATACTAACAAGTTGTTATATTATTATTTCTAGACTTGGTCAGCTCTCACATATATTTTCAACATTTCATATTCACATCATTTTTTTTTCATATGTGCAAGTAGCATACACGATCAAACTTTCCATTTATTTATCTATTACAGTATCTTATTTTTAAATACATATTTTATTTTCCTATTTTAATTTTCATTAAATATTAATATTATAAAATTTTATCTTTATTATCTCAGAAAATTTGATTTTTTTCGTAAGATAAATAAGCTAAATATATAGATTTAGCTTGTGAACCACCTACAAAATTTAAATTGCAACAAACAAATAAAACTTATTCTATTTGAACAAACTCTCTCCTAAACTTAAACTTAAACTGTATGTTCATTGCAACAGTTTATAAGCATGCCCAAAATATTTCGTAGATACTGAAACTATCAAATTTATGTGACTTTGTCATTGTATCTGCTAATTGTTTTCCGCTACTGCAATATTTCAGCTCAATAACACCATTATTACACAAATCTCTCAAAAAATAAAATCTTACATCAATATGTTTACTTCTTTCATGTAACACTGCATTTTTGGATAATTTTATTTTAGAAGCATTATCACAAGACAGTAGATCTATATGCTCCAAATTTCTTCTCAACCAAGCATATTGACAAGCACAAAATACAACTGCTATGAACACTGCTTCTGTTGTGGATAAGCTAACCACTAGTTGTTTTTTGGATGACCAAGATATTACACCATCTCTCAATTTGAAAACATAACCAGATGTGCTCTTTCTATCTTCTGGATCCCCTGCATAATTACTATCAGTATAAGCAAGTAATTCTTCTACATTTCCTTTAATTTTATAAAAATTTCCTAAATTTTGAGTTCCCTACAAATATCTCAAAATATGTTTTACTGTTAGGAAGTGACTGCCTTTAGGATGCTCCATGAAGTTACTAATCACGCTAATTGAATGTGCAATATACGATCTAGTACAATTCAGATACACAAGGTTTCTTATAAGTCATTTGAATAAAGTACTGTCAACTTCTGCCCCTTTATCTGTTGTCAACAACTTAATACCTGGAACAATAAGATTCTTAACTAAATTACAGTCAAGCATATGGAATCTGTCCAACATATATTTCTTCTTCCCAATAAAAAATCCGTCATAGCTTTGCAAAATTTTAATGCCCAGAAAGTATCTCATCTTGCCTAAGTTAGTCATAACAAAGACATTCATCATATTTTTAAACTCTAGAAACATTTATTCATGATTACCTATGTATATCAAATCATCTACATAAACACAAATAATTAAGAGTGCACCTTCCTCTTTTCTTCTCACAAATAGAATGTGTTCATGTCAGCATTTTAAAAAATCATTAGTTACAAGATAAGACTCCAACCTGCTGTATCAGGCTCTAGAAACCTGTTTAAGACCATATAGATTATTCTAAATTTTGTTTACCTAATGTTCACGTCCCTTAGAGACATAGCCCTGTAGTTGTTCTAAGTATACATCTTCATTGATTGCCCCATGTAAGAAGGCTAACTTGATATCAAACTCATAAATGTTCCACTTTTTGTGGCTGCTAATGCAACAGTTCTAATGGTTTCCAAACGAGCTACTCGTGCAAAAATCTCACTATAATCGATGTCCTCTTCTTGAGTGTATCATTTTGCTACTAGTCTGACTTTAAATTTGTCAATCTCCCCTTTCACTTTCAATTTTTTCTTGTAAATCCACTTGACACCTATAATTTTGCAATTTGGTGGTGGATCAACTAGCTCCCATGTATCATTTCGAATGACTTGAAATTCAGCATCCATGACATCTTTCTAATGTTGACTCTGTGATGCTTAGTTGTATATTACTAGATCTGCACCTGCAAACATTGTAAAATTTATAGCATCCTCATTAATTAAATCATGATTAGTGACATAATCTTTCATCCTGATTGGTGGTCTTCTAGCCCTCCCTTCAATTGAAAGTCATTTGAATAAAATACTATCAATTTCTGCCCCTTTATCTGTTTTCAACAACTTAATACTTAGAACAATAGGATTCTTAACTAAGTTACAGTCAAGCATATGTAATCTGTCCAACATATCCCTG